TTTGCCTTGTTTTTTTCTTTTTTATTTAAGGATCAGAAGTCATTTACAATTGAAACTGTTTCAAGCACTCCAACTATGTCACGCTCTAGTTCCATAAGTGGAGTTGATATGGCAGGTCTTCAGACCTCTTTTCTGTCACAGGTATTGTATGGCTGTAATATTGGCTTTTTTGATGTACATTTTTCTCTTCGGGAAGCTTTATTAATGTTGAAAATGATTCTTGAGAACTTGCTTATGAAATGTCTATGACTATAAAGCATCTGTGGAAGACAGCAGGACCACAGTTTTTACTGCACACAGATATACACATGTATTAGTTCTGAGTTCACGTGACCAATTTTAGCTAGGAGATTTGAATAACATTGGTAGAAGTCAAACCACTGATTTATCTTCACAAGTAATCCTGGCATAGGATTGCAAGCAGTTATTTATGAGATTTTAAGGTTGTCTAACTTGTCTAACTTTTCTGTTTGTAGGATGATCCTCATGATCACTCATTTGGATCAACAGCTACCAGTGGGAGCAATCTTTATGATGCTATAAGGATGGGAGCAGGTTCAAGTATAATTGAGAACCTTCAATCACAGTTAAAACTAAGAGAAGGAGAGATCTCACATCTACAGGTACTGTAGTTACTCTTATATAGATGAAATGCAGCACTTTTAAGATTAAATGTTATTGCAGTCCGCTGTATTTTACTGGTTTTATACTCAAAGTTTGATTCCTTTCCTCACTGCAGATTGTCAGTTCTGTTAATTCAGAAAGCCACTGCACGAGTGGCCAAGTAGATAGGGATGAGTAAGAGAAACATCTGTTGCTTCGTTTTTCATTTTGGCAAGGACTTATCAAGAAAACTGAACTTTCCTGTCTAACACAAAACGAAGCAAAAAGCACTGATCAGATCTGAGAAGAAAGTGAGAGTGCTTCCTTGAGATACTATTTCTTAGTCCAGTTTATGAAAAATCTTTAGTGTTTAAAAATATTTAGATCCTGTTTAATATGAAAAGGTAATTATCTCTTCCTCCTAATTGGGAAACATTTCCTTTAGCTGGAAATTGGAAACCTTGAAAAAACCAGATCGATAATGGCAGAAGAACTGGTTAAATTAACAAATCAAAATGATGAACTTGAAGAAAAAGTGAAGGAAATACCAAAATTGCGTGCACAGTTAAAGGTAAGTGTATTTGTGTTGTAAATCTCTATCAATCTATATTAAAATATGTCTCTAATCATAAATTTCTTTGCTTATTAGAAAATCTGATAATCCCTACTTTATGACTGATAGTCACTTTCAAAATGTCCTTGTTAAAATGTGTGCTTTACATAGGATTGTATGCTCAGTTACTGAGAGGTCATTTCTGCCACATAAAGGCAACCTTTTTACTAGGGGAGATGTTTTGATAAGCAACGTGGATTTATGAGACTTTGATTTAGAAGCTGAATTTGTGTGTGGTGGTGATATAGTTAACAGGAGAAATATTTTAGTCCTCTAAACACCTCAGAACTTTAATATTAGAAATAGTTTTGGAAGAATGTTGGAAATTACTGTTCTATAAATGCAGAACGTCAAAACATTTCCATAGTAAAATTTCAGTGTAATTTGCTAGCTGTTTTTTAATGCATGCAGCAGTTAAACTTCAAGATGCTTCACTGATTCCTCTGTGCCAGCACCAACTCTTTGTAGTCAAGAACTTTTAACTTGGGAGTTTCTTCTTCTCATATTTAGATAGATCCATCTGTATTCAGAGAATCAGAGCATAAAGAGTTTGCTTTGTGCACCGCTGTAAAATAGTTACACTTTGATAAAATGACACTGCTCATTTTCCCTAGTAGTGTGAAAACACTGTTCTAGCAGCAAATCTTTAAGTTGAGTGACAGTCTGATAGCAAACTACATGTTATTGCAGGACTTGGATCAAAGGTACAATACCATTCTTCAGATGTATGGGGAGAAAGCAGAGGAAGCTGAAGAACTCCGGCTAGATCTTGAGGATGTGAAAAACATGTATAAGACTCAGATAGATGAACTTTTAAAACAAAGACAAAACTAACTCCTGCTGGAACTCCTAACATGATATGGTAACAGATTGTATAGATGTTTATGTAAATGCTGGATAAAAATGTCTTGTTCAAAAAAAAAGAGAATTAAGTGTATGATAGAAAGTGTCTATACAATAGAGTTCATATGTTGACAAAAATCAATGCTTTAAATGTCTTCTACTGTCTGCAGTTAAATTATTTGTGCAATATTTAAAAAAAAAAAGTCATCTCTGTATTTCTGTTTTTACTAAAAAAGGACCATTTTACTTACAAAAACACTAACAGGAAAGATGGTTGTTACCTCATGAGACAGCACTGAAAGGCATGAGATTTACAAGTGGCCCTTCATATACTCATATAGCTGTGACAAATCAGAAGTCTTTTTAAAATGTTCTTTAGAAGAGTTTTTCTAAAATTTGACCAGATCATTTTTAGTAATGAAATAGCAGTGGTTTGCTGTCTAAAGGATAACTGGATATATATATATATTTTTTAAATAAAAGAATTGCTGCTGCTCTCATGTAGTCATTCCTGGTATATAAATAGCAAGGTTTAGACTTCTACAGAACTGGATTGCTGCTTAATATAGTTTTCAAGCAAGTCTCCAGTGGCTGCAAAGTATTTCTCATGCCATTCCTTGAGTGAGGTATTGGTCAAACAGCATCCATGTGGCTTGATCCTTAGCCATGTTTTGGGTCACGTCAGAGGAAACTTCAGAACTGGACCCTTGGGAATGCTGAGAATCAGGGGAAGAAGCTTGCCTCCTCCTCTTTGCATTCCAGCCAGCAAATATTTCTCTCTATCTCAGAGCTGTAGCTGTGATAGACACTTGTGTGAAATACTCCGCAGTTGAAATTCTTGGCCTGTCATACTGTTGCCTCCACTGTTGAGGGGTTTCTTTTGCATTTGTGTTGGAGAACTCTGTTTCTGCTTCTGTATTCAGTGGACAGAAGGAGGCAAGGAGTCCAAATGATGAGAAGCTGCTTTCAGTGAAAAGCCTCTCAGAATTTATCACTTTGCCATCATAATGAAATGTTCTCAGTTGCTTTAAACTAAAAAGAAAAAGCCCACAACAAAAAAACCAACCCCAAATGAAAGCACTTGTCAGAACTTACTGATTGGCAGCATGTTAAGTCAGCCAGAATTATGATGTGCAACTGTCAGCTCATCCATTTCTTGAAAAGCAAAACAAAGGACCAATCAACCCCCAAAACAATCCATACACCCTATTTCATGAAGATTAATGTTGAGAAACAGCTGTTATTCTTCGCAGAGAATCAGTAGTTTGCTCTTTTTACAATCTTGGAAGACAAATGGAGTACTTTGAAGATATGTAGAGACCAGTTTATGGCTTTTATTTGGACTTAGTACTGCCAGTGTTTTTGAAGGTAACATTTTCTTTCTAACATGTGCATGGATGCTCCTTCACATGCAGGTCTGAGCACCTCAAACTGTCTTATGTTTCCAGGAGGTAAATGAGAAATTGACACGCACACTCAGCATTAACATTTTTTAGATAGAAAAACATTTGAGAGCGTGTTAGATTTTTAAATTTTACAAAAGCAGATGTAAATAGCTGTATTGACTCTTTTTTGATTTTATTCTCATTCAATGCAACATTTACTATCACACAGCAATCCAGGGGCCTACTGTGTCTTAAGCATCAAAGCCTTAGAAACCAGAGCAGCTGCTGGCAGGTAATATAGACTTGTACGTATTCTGATTCACTTTGATATCATACCTGTGGGCTTGTTTTGAGGAAACGTTAATGAATACCAGGACATTTGATGCTTGTTGCTATGAAAAGGAACAAAAAAAAAAAACAAAAAAAAACATGCAAAAAGCAAGCACTTAGGTCACAATACTGCCATCCTCTTCCATTTAAATTTGTTATTTTTAAGTAACCCTCGTGGAAGCAACTAATTTTACAGCTCATTCTCACTGCATGGGCAAGTGTGGAGGAAGGTTATTTAAGGGCTTGCTCAAAGTATGCTGCTCAGAGGGGTCTTATTTCATGCCTTTGGCAAACGAGGGCAAGGCCTCTGCTAAGGGAGGTGAGTTTGGATGAGTACAGAAGGGGCTGGCATGGTGTTGGGTTGGTATTTGCCAGAAACAAAGAAGCAAACCTTAAAAACCACATATATCCATCCATTGGAAACATATCCATCCATTGGAAAAAGGGTTGGTTCTGTTCATTTTTGTCCCGTTAACATGTTTGTTACAATGCACGTTTTGTTAAGGGCTACGAAGATCCTAAATAAGGAACAACATGGGTTACCCCGCGGTGAAAACGGGACCTTGGTTTCTAATTGTAAAATGTGTATAGACTGTACAGAGCATGGGTCGGGGTGAAATAAATCTTTATGCTAAGCGTGGGCTCCGCTTCTGTCTGTCAAAGACTTAAAGCAGCGCTCTGGGTTTTTCTCTTTGCTGGGGACGGACCGGCAGCGCTAAAGGGAAAATGCCGAGCGTGGGGCTGCCTGAGGGCCCCGCGCATTCGGAATTTCACTTCAGCTCCACGTGAACGAGTCATGGCTATTTGGGTTACAAGAGCCTGGTGTATTTATAACCGCACGGCGGTAATGGGATTAGGGATGATAGTGAAAATAGGGGCGAATTTCCTCTGCCGGCGGCAGGAAGGGGCAGCGCCTCCCGTGCCCCGCAGCTCCCCGGGGAGGAAATGGAACAATGCGGCGCTAAGAGGCCGCGCTTCCTGCTGCGCGGCGGCAGGAAAAGGCCCGCTCCCTCCGCACGCTCCCCCTCCTCCTCCTCCTCCTTCTCCTCCCCGCCCGCCGCCTCCAGGTGGGGCGGGCCAAAGCCGCGGCGCTGCCCGCGGGTGTGAAGGAGGGGCGCGGGGGCGGCGCTGCGGCGGCTGAGGACGGAGCTGCGGCGGCTCTGATGGGCCGCGGGGCGCCGAGCGGTGAGCACGAGGCGGGGGATGGGCCGTGCGGGGCGGGGCGGGGCGCGTCCTCAGGGCTGCGGGGCGGGCGATACCCATCCCTCCTCTCCCAACCGGCGTCCGTCGCGGGATGTGCGGCCGCGCTCCGCTCCCCCTCCGTCCCCATAGGTCCGTGCGTCTGGAGCGCTTCTCCCCAAAGCCGACAGGTAACGCTGCCCCGTGCTGCCGGGCTTTGGCTCTTCGGCGAATTACAACGCAGAAAAGGGTTTTTTAGACACGGGTGTGGAGTTGGTTTGTTTTTTTTTTTCCTCTGAGTAGCTCGGTTCGGGGCTGTGTCGGCATAAGGCGACGTGCCGTAACGCAGCGCAGACCCGCGTGGTCCCTGCAGCCTCCGCGTCCCACCTCGTAACACGACGGCAGCTGCTGCTGGGTTCTATTGAAGTCGGGCCGCTTAGTGGTTGATGCGCAGCTTCCCTTCCTCTCGTGCTTAATTTCTTCCAAGCTAGAGACTGTATTCTGTGCTACTTTTAACCTTTAGTTCATCCTTTTCTCCCCTGGCGCTGCTCTCCCATCTCCCTCCATACCGCCCGCTCTGTGCTCGGCTCCCACGGCCGGCCGCGCTCGGAGGATCCCTCGGGCTCCAGCTAAAGTAAACACGCCCGTTTTAGTCTGTGGCAGTGCGTAATTACCCGGTGATTAATGATCCCCAGATAATCCCGAGGCTGCACAATCTGCTGTCTCCGTGAGAGTTTACTTTCTGTCAGACAAAAAGGCCGCCCGACGACACAAACGAAAACACTTGGAATACACGGCTCTGCTACCCGGTATGCTTGAAATGTTCTCCGCTCCAGACATGTTGTCTTTTTTCCTCATGCAGAAGCTGTAAGTTGCCATGTTCATCTTGCTGATGTTTGGATTGCTACTGCAAGAAATCCTGGCTAATTCCCGAGATGAAAATCTCACTGAGCTCAGAAGCGTTCTGGAAGAGCCCATGTACAGCTACAGGACTGTCAACCTACCAGACGAGCACATTCCGTACTTCCTGCACAACAACCAGCACATTGCTGACATCTGCAAGCAGGACTCTCATTGCCCGTATAAAGTAGGTTTGATTTGATGTTGTTGTTGCTTTGGAGCAGTTTGTTAGTGGAGTGGAGTGTAGTTTCCTTGCCGGTGAGTCGGTTTCGTTAGAAATAGTGATAGGACAAGGGGGAATGGTTTTGAATTGAGACAGGGGAGGTTTAGGTTAGATATTAGCAGGAAGTTTTTCACGCAGAGGGTGGTGAGGCACTGGAACAGGTTGCCCAAGGAGGCTGTGGATGCCCCATCCCTGGAGGCATTCAAGGCCAGGCTGGATGTGGCTCTGGGCAGCCTGGTCTGCTGGTTGAGAACCCTGCACATAGCAGAGTGTTGGAACTGGATGAGCAGTGTGGTCCTTTTCAACCCAGGCCATTCTATGATTCTATGAATAGGAACTGCAGAGGTGGTGAACCCAGGGATCGGGGCTGTGTGTGGCTCAGGGCGATTCCAGCATCTCCTGGGATGGAGCTGTGCTCCCTCTTCTCTGCTTTTCTGCAGCACTGCAGAACCAGCTCTTCTGGGTTGCCTGGTGGTACTCTGAGCCTGGAGTGCTGTGCTTTATGTGAGCTCAGCTTTGTTGTTGATAGCTGTCAGCAACCTGAGAAGTTCGGGATCCTACTCACCGGTTCAGGAAAATTGGTTGTCCTGAAAAGAGATGTTAATGGCAAGAATAACTCTGCTGTGTGTGTGTCTCCTGTGGGCCTTCTGCTGTGTGTAAAGAACTGGAGTGTTTCCTCTGAAACAGAGGCCTGCAGTTCTTTATGCAAGATTTGAAAAACAAGATCTGTTATTGAGAGATGGTGTATAAGCTGACAGCTCTGATTGTTTGCTATATTCATTGATTTTGTGTTACAGAAATACTTGAAGAAATTAAAATCCTGCTGGGGCTATGAGAAATCTTGCAAATCAGATCACAGGTTCAGTTACCCGGTGTGTGATTACGTAGAATCTGGATGGTAAGCTTCATCTTAAACGTATAAAGTGCAGTATGTTCAAAAAAGTAAAAGAACAAAAAAATGTAGTGCTCACTTTTGTATCAGCTGTGAAGTTAACATTACTGTGGTCATTTGAGTCATGTCATGCTGTGGTCATTAGAGCCATTAGATGGAGAGCTGTCCATCTTTGTAAGATGCACCTCTACACATGTATGTGTACGTAACGTACGTATCTCAGTGTGACTTTCAGCTTTTTAAGGAAGAAAATCCTGTTTGAAATACTTCCTACCACAATGTTTTCATTATCCTGATTTAGCCTTGCATTAAGATTCCTAAAATAACTCTGCAGTTCCTTTCCTTAGCTTTAAAAACAGATGAAAAAATGTTTAAAAGAATTAGAGCCTTTTACAGCAGAATTGCTTTAAATTGGCATTGATGTTTTCACTGAGGTGTAGCTGAGAGGTTGCTTCCTGCTTTGCATCTTGAATGTCAGTATAGTACCTGGCTGGCTTTTTTGTTCCCTTTCACTGGGGATTAAAAAAAAAAAAAAGTTATCTGTTAAAGCCATTACTAGAATTGAGCAATGGCATTTTATTTTCCTCTCATCAGGGCAAATGACATCGAGACTGCCCAGCAGATATTCTGGAAACAAGCTGACTTTGGTTACATTCGAGAGAGACTGAATGAAATGAAAACCCATTGTAAGCCTGCAGTAACAGTAGGTGTTTTCAATAGGTATTTTGCTTTTCACTTTGTTTTAAACAGAGAATTGTTATTATCGATAAAATGTATTTATTTTTTTTAACAGGGAGATTCATCACTGACCTGTTCTCAGTTCCTTCAGCATTGCAGAGCAACAAACTTGTACATCGATTTAAGAACTGCAAAGAGAAACCACGAGAGGTCTGATTCTGTGTTGCTGGAGTAAAACTAAGAGGTGGCAGGGAGAGGGGCTCAAAGAGTTTGTTGAATGGAGCTGTGCGTGTAGCTGGTGTGCTTGTTGAGCTTTGCAGAGCCCGTGCTCAGAGGCATATTGCTGAAGCCATGAGGTCTACATTTGCTCATGCTTGACTGCTAGCTGCTGCTGCTGCTGGCAGAATGGATTATTATAAAACTTGCTGTGTTTTTTGAGTGATGACGGGTGATTAAGACACTTCCTCCTCCTGACCATGCAGAGGATACTGTTTCTGTATCCTGAGACATTCTTTCTGCATATTCAGACACATCCTTTCTTGTTCAGATGGTGTGCGAGGTAGAGTTGTTTCTGTACGAGAAGAAAGTACTCAGGTTTTAAAAGTGTACAAAGCTTTGCTGACCTGAGACTAAATAACATTGCCTTGAGTATATAATCTTGATTGCAGTGCACTTGTGGCACTGTTGCACAAAGGCTGATAGATTTTTATTCATTTGCATTAGATTCAAAGAAGACTTTTTCCAGAAGGGAGAAATTGGAGGTCATTGCACCCTTGACGTTAAAGCATTTTTAGCTGAAGGTCAACGCAAGAGCCCTCTGCAATCTTGGTAAGATTCACTTGTCGAGGCTGATTCCAAGTTCACTTCTCAATTTATCTTTTCCTTGGCATTAGCAGCTGTGTGTGAGGTGTTTCATTCTGGGGAATTGGTCGTTCCTTTCTAAGGTCAATTTGTGTTGTTCGTACTAGATATCTCTATAACTGCATCTATGCAGAGTGCTGTTCTGAGCTATGTTACTCTACAGTCAAACCTTTTCTGCCTAATTTACAGCAGCAACAGACATGGAAGCATTTTGTAATTAGATTTCTAATGCTAGCGATATTAGCCCTGTGCCTAGTTTGCCTATGGAAGGAGCCAATCCTTTTGTTAAGAAATACCTTAAAGTTGGCATTTGTGCCTTAGTTCTGATAAACCTGGTGACGTTGGACCTGTTCTGAATATATATTCATATACTGTTACCTGGGAACCTGTGCTTGGAATGCGAAATGGGCAGCACTCTAGAGGCTGAGTAGGAAGTGCAAGGATGCTTTGGTAGGAGGTGGCTACCGTGGGTTACATGTTAGCACTTCAAAGCTGAGCTGACAGCTATCTGATAAAGTATGAAGGAAGGGAACTACTAAAATGCCTATAGGAATTGAGTTTTTATGCTTTTTTTTCATATTTTCAATTATTTTTTTTCCACTTTTTGGACTGATGGTCAATTTCAGTTAAGAAGAGCTGTAGAGGGAGAAAAAGCTTTTCTTTTATACCTGCTGTTGTCATTTCAGCTGCTCATCCTTGTTTAGATCCAGGGGTAATAAATATTGCATCTGTATTCATTATTCTGAGCAAAGCATGAAGATCTTGCTGAAGTGTCTCTGGCAATGCAGATCAGGTTGGATAGACCCACAGATGTTTGCTCTGAGGCTCTTTGTTACATCTCTCCTGCCTCGATTTGTACATCAAAGATGCTGTTTGCTCCTGAGATCAAAGGCAGTGTTTAACCTCTTGGAGATCATAACCTGAAGAACCTTCCATTAGGATTTGAAATAATTTTAATTGTCAGACTCTATCAGATTTCAGCTGTCCTGTTAAATCAAATGGAGTGAAAGTTACTGAATCTTAGGTATATGGAATACACGTGTTCTAATATTTTAATGACAAACCATGTTCTCTGTGATTGAATCTTGTAGGTTTGCAGAACTCCAGACATTTACTTCATTAAACTTCAGGCCCCTGGATGATGGCAAGTGTGATATTGTTATTGAAAAGCCAACATACTTCATGAAATTGGATGCAGGTGAGCCTTTAATCCTTGGACACAAGTATCTTATCTTTTAAGCAAAGTTGTTGTATTCCCCTGAACTGTAACTGGAAGAACTGCAGTGCTGTCAGCCTTTACCTTTGAGCAGGGCTGTCTATCAGTGTTAAAAAGGTGATGCTGTCTAGCTTCTCTGTTTTAGAGGGGCAGAGGAGAACTGCTTTTTGAGTTCTGATGGTAGCTCTTCTTGGACAGAAGCTTTGAAACAAGAGCTGTGTGTATACGGTCCCAAAGCTGATGTCTGGTCTTGGCTACCAAGCAGGCTGGACTACGTTAACTCTTTGTTTCATGGTAGCTTTTTATGCATTGTGGTCTTAAGGTATTAGCTTAAGAAGCCAAAAGGGAACAAGAATGCTCTGGGAAAGAACCTGAGGAATTTCCTGGGCTTTGGCTCCTGTGCAAGCACAAGTTCTATCTTGTATTCCTCCAGACAGAGCTTCAGTTAACCTTAATAAAGAAGAACTAAGAGCACTGCCAAAGGCCTGTTTTCTCATGTTTCCTGTATGTCTAACTAGTTCTTATTAGAGCAGCAGTTGCTTTCATGTATTTCAGAAAACATTTGCAGTTTATAGAGAGAGAAGTAGTACATGGAACTTATCTTTTTGCTGCTGTTCTGATTCATTTGAGCCTTTCTTAGCATGTGTTTTGCTTCATATCTCTTGCCTCGATTCCTTCCCTTTAAAGGTTTGCTTCTCTAGAGTGTATAAGAAGCATTCAGTCAGAATTAGGAGAAAACCAGTATAAAATGTGAGGTACTAGTAGAGAAAAATGCATAAACCACTGAGAAGTGGAGTGAGTCGTGAAGCATTTGCTAACATTTCTTTCTTTTCCTCAGGTGTTAATATGTACCATCACTTCTGTGACTTCGTCAATCTTTATATTACACAGCATATTAATAATTCCTTCAGTACTGATGTCAACATAGTCATGTGGGACACTGTAAGTCCACAGTGCTTTTAATGTACTTGTAATGCATTATATTTCTGTCTAATAGAGACTCTGCAACTTTTAATAGCCACAGTTTAGCTTTCCTGTGGACAGTTAACTGAGTCACGTGGAACTGGTAAGTTTTTGGATCATCTTAATACAGATGCATCACCCCTTAGAATAAATGTTTTTAAGTGGAAATATTTCTGCTGTACTGCTGGATGGAAGCCATGACTTTTAAAGTGTAACAGTAGTTTTACTGACCTGTATTTAAGTTGTACAGGAGTGTGTTACGAGTAAACAACTTGTAATATGCCAGACAACATGTATGTCAGGTTCAGAAGGAACAAAGCTCTTTTTGATGATATAACATTGTCCCACATCTGTTGCCTTGTTCTCCTATAACACTGTGTTTTCTTCCTTTGCATCGACTGCTATGACAAATATTCAGTAAAAAACTGCAAATGTTTCATGCTTGCTGTTTAATGAGAAGTCTCTTTCTTGGCTCTTTTTTCCTTTTTTTAGTTCTCTTACATTTTGAAAGCTGAAATAGATGTGCCTGCCAGATAAGCAAGCTTGCTTTATAGGGAGAGCCATTATTAATCCAGCTCCAATGGCTTTCTGAAAAGTTCAGCTGTGTCAGAACTGTAAATTACTTTGAAAAGAAACTCTTTTTCTTATATTGCATTGTTGAATCAAATAACTCTTTCAAAGTACCATTCAAAGTATGTACTGTAACAGCACCATCATTTTAAATGAGTCTTAACTGCTTGGTCTGCTTGAGTTCATTGCCATGGACAGCCAGATGATGGCACCAACTAACTGCTGATGAGCTGTTTATACCTATCAAATGATGGACTTGATCTTATTATTCATTCTCTTTTTTTTCTTTCCTTGATGTAATTAGATCTGGGCATACTTTCTAGCTACCGTAGAGTTGGTGCACTACTCTTATTAAACAGTAATGCCCTCTGATGTAGGTTAAACAGAGCAGAAAATGAGTAGGAAATCCACTGGGTGTTGATCTGCAGACTGTCTTTGCAACTGCAAGAAAGCAATGTTTCTAAAGCTCTTTGAAGGTGAGCAGATAGAGTTAGAGTGAAGTCCTTTCAGCATGTTTCCCAATTCTCCCTTCCACCAAATCAGATCATTGCTTTCAGTTTGAGATGCACACATGTGAGCATCCCAGAACAGAGGCAAATATGGAACAAACTTGCTATGACATTTTACTTCAAATGCCACTGCTGCACTTGAGTTCCTGGGTGGTTTTTAGTCTCAGGAGTCCAAGTTTGTATCTTCTTCCCTCCTTCTATTTCTGTTGCTTCTGTTCCACTTATGTTCTGTTGTCTCTGGGGAAACACCTTACACCTTGCTCCTAACTCAGATTTTAATCTGCTGCTGAAGAATCTGTCTGGATTGCTAAGTTACAGAACTGTTTTAATTAAAAATTAACTACCTGCCAGGTAATTCAACTACCTTTGTAAGTGCAGTTCTAGCTATTCAGTGATGTGCTAGCTTTCTGTGCTAGAATGTCTTAGGTTCGTTGGTGGTGATGTGCATGTTAAGATTGTTTAAGCTTGTGTATAGAACTTTTAAGTCACGAAGGGAGTTTTTATATGCATTTATGTCATCATTGTGCCTTTCTGTCCTTCCTTCTCACACAGAGCTCCTATGGCTATGGCGACCTGTTCAGCGAGACGTGGAAGGCATTTACTGACTATGACATAATACACTTGAAAACTTTTGACTCTAAAAGGGTATGGAATTTCATATTTTGTCTTAATTCATAGCGACTGTGTAGTAAGAGTGACTGCTTCTAAAGCTGCTTCTGGATATATATTTTTCAGAGGGAAGCACTGATGCTTTACATGCATGTTTAATTAGTGTAATGTGAGTGTGTAGCAAACAGGAGATATAGTTGTAACCCAATTCTCTGGCATGTCTGCATTTACGTAGATGGACCAAACTTTTCTGCCTTTGAGAAGTGATATTTGTGTATTCGTTTCACTTCTGCAGCACATTCAGATTTCATATCAGTCTCTTAAATCCCTTAAGCTCAGTCTAAACTCTATGCTTCACCTGGTTTTCTTCTACTTAATTCCGATTTGTTTTGTTTTTTGGGGTGTTTTTTCCCATTTGTTTGTTTTTTAGATGTCTTCCCACATGTGAATCTGTAGCATCTGAGCTGAGATCTCCTTTGGGATCAGGATGCTCTTTGTTCTACCCTTTTGCACAGAGATGGAAGTGAGGATGTTCTGACAGGAGTGTGTAGTTGCTGGCTCATTGTAAAACAGTGATCCCACTGAATGAGCACGGGACAAACCAGTGGAAGGTAACAGCACAGTGTAACTTCTTGTGATCTGCTTTTGCAGGTGTGCTTTAAAGAAGCAGTCTTCTCATTACTGCCTCGAATGCGATATGGCTTGTTTTATAACACACCATTGGTGAGTCCTCCTTATCCATCCTTGTGATAACTACACGTGTATATGACACTGTGGAGTCTGAGCTAATGAATTTCTCAGGTATCCAGCTGAGTTGTCAGGAAGCATGCTGCACAGAAGCTCTGTTTAACTTCAGATGATTTTAAAGTTATTTCAGCTAGTCGACAGTAACTGGTTATATGCAATCCTCTTCCCACTGTTCTTGAGATGTGCTGTACCTCTTTACTGAGAGGGCACCATGAACTTTTGGCAGAGTGCAAGAGCTTCTACTCTGACAGACTTTCCTAAGGTTATCAGCTCATGTCTTTAGGCTATAACACTACAGAGAGAGCCACCTTGCTTCTAAATGAAAGTGCTGCTTGCATTGCAGCAAATAGTGACGTGCTTAGTGCAGTGTGTGGTACTTGGCTTTTGTTCCATAAAAATGGCACAGGACTGATACCAGAGAGAGATTTTTTTTCTGTGTGGAGCAACATTTCATAGTAACAATTGCTTTTCTACTTTCAGATATCTGGCTGCCATGGTACAGGGCTGTTCAGAGCATTTTCTCAGCATGTGTTACACAGATTAAATATCACACAAGAAGGACCCAAGGTATGATAACCGAACACTGAAACTGTAGTATGGAGCTGACAGATCTTAGCAGAGAAACATCATCTAGCTGGTGTGGAGTGATTTCAGTGTGGAATAGGAGCACACAGTGCACTTTCTGGGGCTTCCAATCAGTCAGTTTGTTCTCTAAAGGCTTTCAGCAAACATAAGGATAGTTGCCCTCCTGTCTTATTTCCACGGGCCAGGCCTTTAGAACATCTTCCTTTCAACCTAGGGTCTCCTCCCTACCTCTGTTCTCTGTTCCTGAGGTCTTTGTATTCTTCCCAGCCAAGCAGTATTTGGTACATGATCTCTTTTGGAGCATGCTGACAAGAACTTGCCCTTGGGCCCAATAGAGAGGTTCCATAAAGAAATACAGCCAGCTTGTTCTCTGCAGGCATGCTCTTTATCCATCCTCGTAGGTACTGCTGAGCTCAGATCAGAGGAGGAGATGACTGAGTCTGCTCCTTCTCTTCCTGCCCAGTACCACCTGTCTGGCCATGGGCTTCTCTGTTGTACGTGCTGGTAGTTGTTGCAAATTGTTGCTGCATTGGTGGGTACAGCAGTCCTGAGCTTCTTGTAGAGTTTGCTAGAGAGTAGCCTATGTATTATCATTGAGGGGCACGCGTTCAAAGCACAGTGCAGACATTTAGTAATGCTTCTCCTGCTGACACTAATGGGAGTCACACAGTTAAGTCTCTTTATTTCACTTGGAACATTCACCCCCATGAGACCAATTAATTTATAAAGAGGTAAAATGGAGAACTGTTACAGAAGAAAAATACTTTTTTTTTTTTTTTTCCCATGGATCTTGTGCACAAACCATCCTAAAAGCTGCTTTCAAAAACTGCTGTATAATGCATAACACACAGACTCTCTTGTACGGAATAAAATAAATCTCTCAGAAAACATTTGATTATTTGTTAATAGTCAGACTTTCACGAAGTTTTTGACACTTGGAATCTGTTGGAAAATACAGTGTGAATTTTAAGGTGGTTCCCTCATCTATTACACGAGGAGGGAACGTATTGCTCAAATAATTGCCAAGATTAAATATGGACGTTGTGGTTGTGGTTGTGAGATCTGCCCCACTGCTGATCCTCTGCTTCTTCTTTATTTTTAGGATGGGAAAATCCGAGTCACAATACTCGCACGCAGTACAGATTACCGGAAAATATTAAACCAGAATGAGGTGTGGCCCTTTTTATTCTTAAAACAAATTTATTGGAAGTTCAATGTTGCTCGTTGGGTTGATTTTTCAGGCACAGCCAAGACATCTGCTGACAAATCTTGGGCAAATGCATTTAGTGCTAATATTAATTTCTTCTAATACGCCATTTATCCTGTCTCTACTTCTGTACACCAGATGCTGAACCTTGTTGCCCTTTTTAAAATTCCAATGGAAGACTACAGATGTAATACTAAAAGTATTTCCTCTTAACAAACAGATGCTGCAGTGCTTCTGATGACATTAAATTATTTTGCTTTCAGGTCATTCTTTTTAGTTTCTAACGTTCCCAGTGTTAAGGGCTCTAACAAAAGCTCTGCTACACCTGCAGATCAAAATATGTAAGCAGTTGTATCTGAGTGTGTGCATTTAAAACTCTTTGAGTTTTCACACTGAATTGCTGTTTTGAATCATGCAGCTTAGTGGCTTTATGGTGAAGCTTTTCTTGTGATAAAATGATAGCATCGCTTTTTTTTATAGCTCTCTTCATTCTTAGCTACTAGTGCCTGACAAAAATGGATGGGCATTATTATTCCCAGTGTAAGGGAGAAACTGAGTCTTATTTCATGCAATAGCTTGGTGTCAGAGCAGGCAGGGCTCAGATTGCCAGACTTGAGCATTGTCTGCTGCACTGACCACAGTACCTGCTGACACCAGCTGTGCTGTGTAATTTCTAGTAACGAGCATACAATGGAAAATGAGAAATTAATCTTTTCTTTACTGATCTTTTGTTAAGAAAAATACTTGTATCTCTCTCCCTGTCCTGCTAGCTTTGAAATGAAGACTTGGAAGAAGCCCTTTTAAGTTAGAAACCTGGGCTCTATTGCCTTTATTTCCTGTGTGAGAAGGAGTCTGACGTGGTCATATATTTTTGAAAACCCCCCTAGTTGCCAATTTGCTTCTTTAAGTATTGAAATATCTTTTGAAAATCCAATCTAAATTGTCACATCTTCATCAATTCCCAGCCTCAGTAAAACTGATACTAGTTAGGGTGGCTTGGCATTTGGCCTTGTAGCATACCTAAAAGTCAGCAGTAGTCTCTGATTCAAGTCCCCTCTGAAATGGCTGATTTACTAGGAATGATATATGTATCCTAGATGAGAATGTAGAAAAGTAGGAGAACATCTCCTTTATATGGCAGTGACAGTATGCTGGGTCTTCCTGGTTATAATTCCCTGGTAAGGAGTTTAGGGGAGGAATTAATTCAAGCAGAACACCAAATCACTGTTTTTTTTTCTCTCCTCTCTTAGCTGGTGAATGCTTTGAAAACAGTATCAACGTTGGAGGTCAAAGTGGTAGACTACAAATACAAGTATGTATGTTGCTAGAGGAAACTAGAATGGCTACATGCTTTCTGTGGCTGGTGCAAGCTGTTGTCATGTAGAAGTATCCATGACCCAGTTTCTAAGCTGTGCAAAATCCAGGAACTGGTAGGAAGAGATGAATTACTGAGGGAGTGGTGGGTGAGCTAGTTAAGCATTCCCATCCTATGATGCAGTGCCTAGGAATGAAACTATCCTGCAGTATGCTGCTGTCTTATTTTGTATGACTCTTAATTTAGTAATGAATGATAACTCAACTTATTTGCTGCTCCGTTGGCCCCCAAAGATGCCATTGAGATCATTTTGTGGTGCCCAGATATGCTAGGCACCGTGCCAGTAAGAAATGGCCTGAAAAAGAAGTTCCCAAGAGGTGTATTTCTGCACCAGATGGCAGCAGCTCCTCTGTGATCAGTGGTGCTGTCATGGATCACACAGGAATAGTGAGGAACTGAAGCTTCACCAAGCAAAAGCAAAGCAAGGAAGTCAAAATTTGGTTCTTTATCCTTTGTCAATGACAGCATTTGAAGAAGTGAATAATACAGAAGAGGGTGGGCTTCTAGGCAGTCCCTCTGTTTGAAAGCATAACTGAGTGATGCTTCCAGAATTCTTGTACTTGTTGAAACTGTAGTACCATTCACTCTTAGAGATTTCTACAGCTATCCTGCTGCATCATCCCCATCACAATTAAGGGGTTTCCCTGATGTCTGCACTTACAGTAGTTTAAGCAACATTTTCCTGTTGCAGATTAAGCCAGCTTCTTTCTATTCTCTTCAAAATTATCAAAGAGCTTACTCTCTTCCTTTTTAATGTATGTACTGTTAACACGTGAATGAAGCCTGCTGTGATTTCCCTTTCCACTTGTCAGTCTTCTCTTGCAATTAAGTATCTTTAGCCTATTATTTACTTGTGTGCTCAGGGAACACCTGGCTATTTAAAATACTGTATTTGGAGGTTACATTCAAAGGATGGGAAAGAAGTAAGAGTTTGAAGCAGGAATTGAAAAACAAAGCAAAAATTCGTCTCCAAACTGTGACAAGTTTAAACTTACCAATGAAATCACACCTTTGGAATAGGCTCTTATTAATGTGAAGCTTTGAAACCTGTCTGCATTTCTTCTAATTCCATGCTGAGTTATTGCTCGTCGCCACATTTATGATTCTTAGTACTGTTCCTTGAAAAATCAATTCTCTCTTTCAGTATTCCTTTAAGTTAATTTTGCGCTTTCTACATGTAACTGATTCTTACTGAGATGGATAGGCATGCCACATCACTATTTTTGTTGTGTTGTCTGCAGGGAACTTGAATTTTCAGAGCAACTGAGAATTACACATAACTCTGATATATTCATTGGGATGCATGGAGCTGGACTTACCCATTTGCTCTTTCTACCAGACTGGGCTGTTGTGTTTGAACTGTAAGTGTTTCTCTCCTCTTTCCCTTTCTATTATACGCACAACTGCTAAAGTCTGTTTGTATCTGTTAATTAAGCACTTTCCCCTTCTCGTATTTGACTACAAATGTTTCACTTGTGTTGTCTTCTAGACTTCATTTTTGACAGTCTGTCCTGGAAACATAAAGTGAGCGAGCTTTCGTTAACAAGTGCTGGTGTAGCTATCATAAAAACTTAGCAAGTGATTTCTTAAGATGTCATGTTATCAATACCATGCAGCATTTTATACAACAAATCTCACAGATCAGATTCTGTCTGTGGGTCTGAGGTACAGTGGTGTTTTGGTGATCTGATTATATAACAATGCATGTCCAGCCTGTTACAGATCCTTCTCGAGGATATTGCTGCTCTCCTTTCCACACCTGGTACACAAACACCAGCTTGCTGGCCAAGCTCAGCTGAGTGTCCTTCTATCTTATCCAAAGTTCTCCAGTAGTTCCTTTTGAAATATGTTTTGTCACACAGCTGGCTGTTAATAGACATTCCAGTTCTGTGGAGCTAAAGAAAAATGCAGCATGCTTGTCCAAAGAGCACTGAATTCCCTATCTTGGGAAATCCCACATAATCCCCTGCAGCAAGGAAGGCTGTGGAGCTGCTGATGTGGTGTAATCTTGGCGTAAGAACATTAGGAAATGAATTCAGACACCTAGGGTTTTTCTTACATGCCCAACAGCTGCTGCAGTTGGGCTGGGAGGTGTCTGATGTGCAGATGTGTCTCAGTCTGTCTCCTTGAGCACATATTAAGAACAGGTGGGCAGCCCTCGTTCTTCTCTGCAGTGGAGCAGAATTTGTCCATGGTTTTGTTACCTTGGAATTGGCCAACAAAGGTGTAGGCTTAGATCCCTTTTTCCTCTTCTGTCCTGATCAACTTGAGCACAAACTCTGTAGGTGAGTGGGTCCTTCTGCCTTTTCCTAGGTACAATTGTGAGGATGAACGTTGTTACCTGGATTTGGCAAGGCTGAGAGGCATTCACTACATCACCTGGCGAAAAAGGAATAAAGTATTCCCTCAAGATCAGGTAATGATGGCCACTGGTGGAAGGGTGGGGATGGTTTTTTTTTTTTTTTGCTGTATTCATACTCTACTGAATGGATTTGAAGGCTAGCTTGTTTCACTTGTCTGTGTTCAGATATTTGAAATACGATTTTCATTCTGTAATTCTGTGATTCTTAAGACCAAATAAATTAAATTCCATGTTGTGATTAAGAAATCGTTTGGTATTAATGGATGAGGGAAAAAGAGAAATTAATCCACTAAGCCATCCATTGCATTGCTGTTATGCAGTTACTTTGCTGAATCTTTTGCCTCAGAGCAGATCAATGGATCAGAAATAATGTATTAATAGCACATGCTCCATTTTTTTTTTTTTCTTGCTTTTGAATGGAAGATGTATGGGAACTTTTTCTGTCTAAAAGAACATTTCATTTTTTTAGGGACACCACCCAACGCTGGGAGAGCATCCAAAATTTACAAACTACTCTTTTGATGTGGAAGAATTTATGTACTTGGTGCTTTTGGCTGCAAATCATGTTTCACAGCATTCCAAGTGGCCATTTAGGGTAAAGCACGATGAATTCTAAATCAGACTTCTGACTGAAATATTATTTTTGAATAATGCTCCATAAAATACTGTAACAACGTGAAGCAAAATGCTGGTGTGAAATATGTAAACCTCTACGAGGGAAATAACTCTTAATTAGTTTGTCAGAACACTTCAGGGCACCACACCTTATCTGTGTCATCCATCTCTTTAATTCTGGGTGTTTTTCTTAAATAAGAAATATTTATAGAATTTTTCCCTCCCTTTCCCCCTATATTTCTGCATTCCAGATTCTGAAATACTTGTCTTTGTAAAAAGATATGTCCATCCATTTCATTCACATTAGAGATTCTTTTTGCATTTAAATTTAACTTTGACTCTTCTCCCTCTAGTTTTAGGTGCTAAAATGTAACAGATCTGCTCAGTAAGTTTTGTCAGTCTTCTTCTCAATGCAAGTAAATCTTTTCCTAAATGAATTCTTACAAACTTCAGGTCATCTGGGTATTTCCTACTTTGTCACTTAACACAGCACTTCTGCAGTGGAAAACCTATGCAAATTGGAAGAAAAGCACATACAGAAACCTTCATCTTTTTGAGGATGCTGAAGGGACTGGACTTCAGGATTTTTTTTTAATGACAAATGATAAGGAATAAAGGATGTCTTTCAGCTGCAGCTGGAAGGAAATGAAATCGTGAGGAACTTTGTTCATGAAATCACTAAAAGCCTCATCTATTTCTGTTTTTGTTTTCTTGAAATGTTGAAGAGTCCATCTCAGAAACTTACAAAAGTCCTTCCAAAGCCAATAGCATCGCTGGCTGTTCTCACTGAAGCCAAAACTGAGTTGTTTGTAAAATGCCCCCCTGATTTATGGGCTGATACAGTTTGGTGCTAAGGAGGGGAGGGGGAAAAGAAGGAAACAAACAGAGTAGTTGCGTTGTCTTAAGGGGAGATCCAGAAGGATGCGTGGAAGAACCAAGTTCAGTCAGATTTCAAAGGGAAAAAAAAAAAAGAGTTCCCTTTTACACTATGGATTTTCTGAGAATATATTCCCATGATACATTTGCAGTATAATCAAAGTTTCAGTGGCTTGAAGCAAAGCATACATTTGTATGCAAAAGCAAGGCAGTTATAGTAAATGTAAACACTCCACCGGTATAATTGTAGATACTATTGAATTCCATTCACCAGCAGTCATAGGCAGTTTCAAAGAGAGTAGCTACGCTCACTGACCTGCCTATCCTGGTAAAAATGACTTACAGTAAGCATAATTTTCATACAGATCTCTCATGACCTTAAGCAGTACATAGGAAAAGCTGGTCCATCAGGTATATTAAGGTATTTGGTGCAATTTTTGGTGTGGTGTGTCGCGTTGATGGGTAAAACTGTTTTACTTTAAAGAACCATGGAAGCAAAATTGCACTTATTTATATGGGGAGAAGGAAAAAACTTTGAGGATGCGATGTCCTGTGTTTGTGTTTTGGGTTGGGTTTGGTTTTGTTTGTTTTTAAACCTTGTAGGATTTTTAAAGTAATGTATAAACTTAAGTTCAGTAAAATGCGTGAGTGTGAAGAAGGGAAAACAACCCGACAAAATAACTGAAAATATAAAAGACATTGAACTATGAGCTGTGCACAGATGTATTTGATAACTTTTATAAAAAGACTTTTAATAAAAAATTAAAACGAGCTTTTGGTCGTGGTTTGTCAGGTGTTGGAAGCCAGCTTTGTAGATACCTGTCATTGCGTAGTGTTGTCTCTTGACTTCTCCTGCCGTGACAACACGATGTCTGGAGATCCAATACTTGTTTCTTTAGCTGTTCAAGTAATTGTGTGAGGGCAAATGTTCTTGAATCTTTACAGAAGCAGCTAATGAGGAGCTTCTCTTTCATGCTGTGCTAGGACTCACTAAATCAAGCGGTCAACCATATGCTTGAATGCGTGGTGAGAGGCTGTGGGGACTTCATCCAAGGGTAAAATGTCCTGCCAGCATTTACTGCTTTCTGCACATTTGAGTGCAGTGTCAATAGTTGATACTGACATTAGCCAACATATTCTTTAGTCTTTATGGTTTAATATTACGGGGATGAAAATAGTAATCTGGTTGATGAGCTTTACGAATAGTCCTAAAATTATCCTGGCAGTCGAAAGGAGTTTCTGGTGGATTGATGGGATTTTGCCAATAAATCCTCAGATTTGTGAGGATTGAGGGTCTGGGCCACCTCGGTCTGCCAGGAAATTGGAATCAGAGGGAATCTTTGGGACTTTCTGGGCAATCTGTTCTTCAGGCAGGGTGCAGTTTGGGGCTGTATGTTCCTAACAGATTATAGGAGTTTTGCTCTTTGCTACTCTTGATCTTTGTCTCAGGATTACTGAAGAATTAAAATTGTGTTTCATTTGCACAATTGCATCGGTGTGATGAATTCAGATTTGGCACTCAGTGAATGCTGCCAACCCTGAATACTTCCAGCATTGCAGTGTAATCTGAAAGTGGTTTGGACTCATGGTGTCTTCGTGTTACCTCAGAAGTCTTCAAGATGTGCCTATTTAGTTAGTTTTATTTTTTTTTTTAAGTTCTGCAGAAGTTGAGTAAGTGTGAGGAGTGATTTGTGATGGGGAGGTGGTAAATCAGGGCTGGTAGAATGCATTTATAAATATGGCTTCATTTTTGCTGTTAATCTAACTGTGCTACTATTAATGGGATTACTCAGGGTTTAGAATCACTCCTGCTTAAAAAAACAGAGGCAAATTAAAGGACACATTCTTGAGAGCTTTTTATCTACACAAAATAGCAAAGCACAAGGGGAATTTTTTCTTTGGTTTCAATACTGAAGAATTGTTTCAATTTCCAATGTTTGCATTGAAGTTGTGCTCTCACTTCCATTCCTCTGAGCAAGTCTAATGGTTTGGGTTCTTATATTCTGTATTTTTAGGGCTGTGGGTGTGATTTCCAGGTGTTTCCTACCTACTTCAGCAGTAGGTGGCACCAGAGCCCTTTCAAAGTTCTCCTGGCTCTGCAAAGGGAATGGAATTTCAGATGCAGGGTCAGCTCGCAGAGGAACACAATAAAGCAATTGCTCCTGCAGGTGATAATTTTGTTTTTCCCCTCTGTTTGTGGAAGGGAATGCCTGGAGAAAATAGTCTAGGGAGATTTTAGCTTTTAGCATTGGTTTACACAGATGCTATAGTAGCAGAGTATTTTTCCTTCAAATTTTCTAGAAGCCAACTTGGTGTTGGAAGAATAATTTTCGATTGATCTTTTGTGGCAAAGTAATGTATCTCATTTTCTTTTAAAAGTAGGTTTTGTGCCCAAAACAGTGCTTTTTAGCAGTTGACACAATTCCTGCTCTGATGCAGCCTTGGGTTTCATGTATGCAGTGGCACCACCCATTCATGCCATGCAACATGCACTTTCTGCCACCTCATTACTTCTCCCACTGAACCCATCAGGTGTGTGTGTGTGTGTGCAAGCACACATCTGGCACCATTGGAAATGCAGACGGGTGACACTCAGAAAACTGTAAAATAAAATACCAATCGTTCTTAATTTATTAAAAAACGATTAGTTTGAAGGCTTTGTGCAGGAGCTGCCCTGCCCTTACTGTGCAGCTTTGGAGGATGCCAGGTAGGAGGGTGTGAGCGTGGCGGTGAGGGTGGTTGGACATCATTCATTACCCCATCAAGGACTCGATGCGTCACTCAGTGAACAGGCGTGTGCATTGAGCTGACAGCTCCCAATTGTTTCTTCACCAATTACCACGCCAAAGCCTTGATAGTGTAATGAAATATGCCTCCTACCTATCACTTCATCTTTGTCAAACTGACTGGCTGCTCTTAGTGTGTTATGACTGCACGAACTTTAACAGTGTCAGAAAAATAAGCAAGCTTGTCTCGCATGTAAAAGGATGCGAGCCTGAGAGACAGCATGGGTGCTGTTAGATAAGGGCACCTCAGTTTGGATGGGAACACGTGCAGGGGGAAAAACCCTCATGGAGCAGCTGAGGCCTCAGTTCTTCCTTGGGGACCCAGCAGCGGATGAGAAGCATAGGAACTTTTATTTTGCTGGACATTTTTATACTTAGTAAAGTAATCAGCATCTCTTATAATTTATTTATTGTGATCTGACTTGGTCTAAACTATCAGTCCTCCTGCTTCTGTCCTTTTACCTGTGCACTCTTTGATGCCTCTTAATTCATAATTTAAGCAGCCTGGGTTTTCCTTTACAAAACATCTCCCAGCACCCTGAGTCCCTCTGGCTGAAATGCAGAGGACTGCTCTGGTGGAGGTGTATGTGGAGCACCAAGAATTCTCTACATTGCCACTAATTCCAAATCTGGATAATTGTCAACAGGGAGAATTGCAGCTGAAAAATACGTTTGTGCCTTTGAAGGCTGAGCAGTGTTTGTGTTTGAGTTCTCACAAGCAATTTAGTTGCTGTTTGTTCTCAGCGCTGCCTTCCCTAGCGAAGGAGAGCTGTGTGGTTAGTTCAGTGCAGACTATTAAAACATTTCATTAAAAAAAAAAAAAAAAGTTAATTAAATTAAGAGGAACACAGACCTCCTTCTAATGCCCTTGCTTGCAAGGCTCTCCCAGACATTAGCTGTTCAGTGTTTTTAACGTTCAACCTAAAGGAAAATTTGGGTATTGGATCTCTTAATGCATGCTTCAAAGAAAACACTTTGTATGGTATGTAATAAATCAATCATTGCTTAATAACCATAATGTTTACCTTTCCAGTTGGGACCTCATGAGTAAGATGAGGATTTAAGAAAAATAATTGACAGCTTTCAGATCATTTAATGTTAAACTGTTTTATTGATCAGATTTGAAAGCATTTAATATTAGTTGCGTGCAATGACATCAACTGAGGATGCTGCTGTCACTTTGGGAGCAATAGCTGGAAATGCAAACCCTGTCTGTAGCAGAAGCTCGATCTCAGCAGCAGGACTTGGCTCTCTCCTGCTCAGGACAGGTGTTTATGCATCTCTGCTCTGTTCTGTTACTCATTTCTGAGTAACAGAAGCTGACCATACCTGGACAACTTTTTCCTGCTACCCTTTGGCTTTGCTCTGGGATGGAGGTGATGCATGGGGCTGGCCATGGCTGTGCTGGTTGCAATTCACCTCAAATAGCATCAGATAAGGATGGCACCATTTTATGCAATGATGCTTCTTCCCACCGCTCTTCCAGCCAGCCCATCACAGAGGGAAGTTTTAGCAGGGCTCCTGTAGGCAGCTCCATTTCCTGTTCTTCTTTTTCACTGTTAGCTCCTGTGTGAAGCAGTTCTGGTAAATTAAAGTATTCATGTCTACAGATTCTTCAGCTCATCCATAGACCTTTGCCAGTGCTGTTGGTTCAGACCTTCTCAAAGACCTATTCAAAGATGATACAATTTATAGGTGACTTTTTCTTGTTATTTTGCAGAGCAACTTGCAGAGAAGTGCAGCTTTCCTCTACAGAAATGTATTGCTCACCTCGGCATGATTAACTTTCAATGATGTCTAGTAGTAATCAATTTCTTCTGCACTGAAAGAAGTCATGGCTTCTGCCAGAACTGTACATCACCAGTGCTGAATCCAAGCTTTCAAGCTTCCACTTTGAGAAATCTCATTATTCCTATCCTCATTCCTTATCCTGCCCAGCAAGGTGAGGGAGTCACCACCTCTGGAGGTGTTCAAGAACCGTGGAGATGTGGCACTGAGGAACGTGGTTGGTGGGCATGGGCTGGGTTTGAACTAGGTGATCATCATTGTCTTTTCCAACCTTAATGACTCAGTGATTACCAAGTAATTTTTTGGTGTGGTCCCTTCCTAACGGAGGTATGTTGCCTGTCTGCCATGCATTCAGCCCCTGAAACCCATCAGTCTGGGTAGAGTTTACCACTGAACTTTGGTCCCTTAGGAACAGAGCCTCTGTCCCTGGGCCCAGCTCTGCCTACAGCTGCTGCGAGTTGCTAAGAGACAGCTCGTCCCTGTGCAGGGCAGCAATCAGCTGCATGCAGGTAATTAAAACCACAACTGCTTCATTATTAACCCTTTGTTGATTTAAAAAGTATATATTAAATTTAATACCTTCCTGTCTATAGCCCAAGCCAACAGCACAATGCTCCACATGCATCCACATCCATCAGGTGCTGTCTGTTTGACTGCACTTCCTTTGGAGATGGCTTCCAGGGGCTCTGTCTCATGCTCTCACCATGATCTCACCCTCCTCAGCTGAGTAATTCCTACCAAGACAACGTGCTTTCCCTGCTATGTTTGCCACTCTCCTGTGTTTCAGCAAGGCAAATAACTCAGGCTGTCTCCCATCACCAGTCAGCCTTGTTTGCTCAATTTTGCTGTTCTATTTCTTGCTTTATTCAGTCAGCATGTATTTATGTACCTTGTGTCCTTTTTCTGCCTGCCCATTTTTATTGGACTTCATCATTGTCCACATTGTTGGGCTTTCCTGGCAGGGCTGTGGATCTCAGACTGCTGTTTCTTCAGGCCAGCTGTCTCTTCTCTCCTCACTTTTTTTTCCCAGGAGAGCATCATGCAGCTCTGCTCTCACCTTCTCTGCAACTTTTAGTTTTAATACACTCAATCTTGCTATTTTCCAACCCCTCCTTCTCCTAAGCTAAAGTGACTCTCTTCTTGCATCCTTTTCCTAGGACAGAGAGAGCCTCCAGCTGCAGACTTGTGGTGT